ATTTTTAATAATTTTATGTTTCAGTCCAAATATGTACAAAGTCGTGATCGAAATATCTTTGGAATTTTTTTGGATTTTTAGACAATTTTCCAAAATCCCAATTTTTTACTCCCTACTATAAACTTTTGAATCTCTTTTCAACTAGTTTCGAAAATTGCTTGAAAAGATTTTTTTGTATATTTCGATGTCCAGAAAATCGTTTTGGGTTCACTTCTTCGAAAATTCCTACCATCTCTCCAAAATCTTCGTATTAAATAGGGCAGTTTATGGATTCTCAAAATTTTGTTTTTCAAACCGAGTATTTCTAAAATTTTGCTCCGGAACCATAAATACGCTATATTTTTAGAACCAACAAAAAGCGAGCTATACCTACATCCTAGAATTTTTTTGTGGATTTTTTGACAACTTTTCCGAAACCTAAATTTTTTAATCCTCTAAAGTTATAAAATTTTCGACCTTTTTTCGAGTAGTTTCGAAAATTACTTGGGAAGACTTTTTTTGCATATTTCGACCTTTCGAATTTATTTTGGCGTAATTTTTTTCAAAAATTCGTACTCATAAAGTCTTCGATCTTTTTTCGAGTAAGAATTTTTTTATAGATTTCCACACCCAGAAGTTTTTTTGTCTTGATTTTTTCGGAAATTCGTATCATTTTTCCAAAATCTTCATAATAAATATGATAATTTATGGATATTTCAACTTTTGCCTTCCAAATCGAATATTTCCAAAATTTTGCTCGGAAGCTATATTTTTGGAATCAACAAAAGCGAGATCTATACGCTGGAATTTGTTGTGGACTTTTCCGAAAGTTTAATTTTTTAATACTCTAAAATAAAATTTTCGACCTTTTTTCGAGTAGTTTTGAAAATTTCTTCAATATATTTTTTGTGCATATTTCGACCTTTAGATTTTATTTTAACATCATTTTTTATAAAATTCTTACTCATAAAAATTTTTGTGGATTTTTGGACAACTTTTCCAAAGCGCCATTTTTTTTAAATCCTATAGTTTTCAATCTTCTTTCGAGTAGTTTCGAAAATTAGCTGAAGATTTTTTTTTTTAAATTTCCACATCCGGGAGTTTTTTTGACCTGATTTTTTTGAAAAGTCGCTCCATTTTTCAAGAATCTTCATAAGAAATATGACAATTTATGAATTTTTCAAAATTTTGCCTTTCAAACCGAGTATTTCCAAAATTTTGCTCCGGTACCATAAACACGCTATATTTTTGGAATTTTTTGTGGATCTTTAGACAACTTTCTCAAAACCTCAATTTTTTAAGTCGTAAAATTTTCAACTTTTTTTCTACTAGTTTCGAAAATTACCCCTTTTTTTTCGTTAATTTCGGCCTCCAGAAGTTATTTTTGCCTTCGTTTATTCCAAAATTTGTATCTTTTTGGAATTAATATAAAGCGAGTTCTACACCCTAGAATTTTTTGTGGATTTTTAGATAACTTTTCTTAAATCTTAATTTTTTTATACTCTAAAGTCAAAAAATGTTCGACCTTTTTTCGAGTAGTTTCGAAAATTACCTGAGGAGATTTTTTTTGCATATTTCGACCTGTAGAATTTATTTTGGCGTCATTTTTCCAAAAATTCATACTCATAAAATTTTCGACCTTTTTTCGAGTAGTTTCGAAAATTAGCTGAAGATTTTTTTTGTAGATTTCCACATACGGAAGTTTTTTGCCTTGATTTTTTTGAGAATTTGTACCATTTTTCCAGAATCTTCATAAGAAATAATATACTTTATGGATCTTTCAAAATTTTGCCTTCCAAGCCGAATATTTCCAAAATTTTGCTCCGGAACTGTAAACACGCTATATTTTTTGGAATCAACAAAAAGCGAGATCTACACCCTAGAATTTCTTGTGGATTTTTAGGCAACTTTTCCAAAAGTTCTATTTTTTAATACTCTAAAATCATAAAATTATCGACGTTTTTCCGAGTAGTTTTGAAAATTTCGTGAAGATATTTTTTTTGCATATTTCGACTTTTAGAATTTGTTTTGGCGTCATTTTTTCGAAAATTCTTGCTCATAAAATTTTTTTGTATATCTTTAGACAACTTTTCAAAAAGATCAATTTTTTAAGTCGTATTTTTTTTTTCGACTAGTGACGAAAGTTACCGGAAGTATTTTTTTTTTTAGATTCCAGCATCCAGACGTTATTTTTGGCTTCATTTATTCGAAAATTCGTATCATTTTTCCAGAATCTTCTTATGAAATGGGGCAGTTTATGGATTTCTCAAATTTTCATTTTTAAAATCGAATATTTCCAAAATCTTACTCCGAGACCATAAATAAACAGGCTATATTTTTGGAATCAACAAGTGGAGATGTATCTAAATCCTAGATTTTTTGTGTGGATTTTTAGACAACTTTTCCGAAATCTCAGTTTTTTTAAAACTCTAAAGTCATAAAATTTTCGACTTTTTTTCGGGTAATTTCGAAAATTAGCTGAAGTATTTGTTTGTAGATTTCCATATCCAAAAATATAAAAATATTTTTGCCTTGATTTTTTCGAAAATTCGTACCATTTTTCCAGAATCGTCATAAGAAATATGATAATTTATGGATTTTTTAAAATTTTCCCTTTAATACCGAGTATTTCCAAAATTTTACTCGGAATCATAAACACGCTATATTTTTGAAATCAACAAAAAGCACCCTAGAATTTTTTGTGGATCTTTAGACAACTTTTGCAAAACCTCAATTTTTTTAAGTCATAAAATTTTCAGCTTTTTTACGACTAGTTTCGAAAATTACCTGAAGTATTTTTTTGTAGATTCCGGCCTCCAGAAGTTATTTTTGGCTTCATTTATCCGAAAATTCGTATTTCCAGAATCTTCTTATGAAATGGGAAATTTATCTAGGTATTTTTCAAATTTTTCTCTTTCAAATCGAATATTTCCAAAATCCTGCTCCGGGACCATAAACTATAAAATTTTCAACCTCTTATCGAGGCGTTTGGAAAATTATTTGAAGATTTTTTTTAATATTTCGAGTTTTAGAATTTATTTTGGTATCATTTGTTCAAAAATTCTTACTCATAAAATTTTCGACCTTTTTTCAAGTAGTTTCAAAAATTAGCTGAAGAATTTTTTTTGTAGATTTTCATATCCAGAAGTTTTTTTGACTAGATTTTTTCGAAGATAAGTAGGTACTATTTTTCCATAATTTTGCTCCGGGTCATAAAATCACTAGAATTTAGAGTCAACACGTGGAGATCCAGATCTCACATTTTTTGCGATGTTTTTTCAAAAGCTCAATTTTTCAATACTAAATCCTTATGGAAATATTCGACAGTTTTCAGAGCACTTTCGAAATTGTCCAAAGACATTCTTTTTTGGATTTCAATCTCCAGAAGATAATAACATCGGCTCTATTTATTTGATAATTGCTACCATTTTTCCAGAATTTTCAATATAAAATGCGGTAATTTTGTGAAGATCACTGAAAGATCTATGTCCTAGAATTTTTTGTGAATTTTCTGGAAACTTTCCCTAAAGTTCAAATTTTCAATATCTAAAATTACTTAGAGAGATATTTTTGTGCATTTTGATGTCCACAAGTTGTTTACAGCTTCACTTTTTTCGATAACTGCTCCATTTTTTTCAGAATTTTCAGGAAAAATATGCCAATTTTGTGGATTTTTTGACGAGTTTTCGAAAAACTCATTTTTTTATTTTCGACCTTTTTTTACCAGTTTCGATTTTTTTTACAGATTTCGATCTTCAGAATTTATTTCCGGCTTCATTTCTTCTGAAATTCCTACCATTTTTCCAGAATCTTCAATAAGAAATATGCAAATTTTTGATTTTTAAAAATATTGTGTGTTAAAGCTTATATTTCGAGAATTTTGTTCAGGGGGCATAAACACATTATATTTTTGAAATCAACGCGTTGAGATCTATATCACAGAATTTTTGTGGATTTTTTTTGCAACTTTTTCACCACTTTTGAAAATTACGTAACAATTTTTTTTTTAGATTTCGAATTCCAGAACTTTGTTTCGGCCACATTTTTGCATAGCACCACTTCAAGATATAATATCTCAAAATTTTTTTAGATTTTTGGCAGTTTTCCCAAAAGCTCAGATTTTCAAAATTCCCAGTTCCTTTTTTTCCATAAATAATCCAAAAGTGTAAAATATATAGGGTGTTTTATTTAAAATAATACAACTTAATGAGAAGGAAAATTTTCGATAGACTGATAAATGCGTAGTTTTCCACCACAAATTGGGACACTGTATATATTATTGATACGAAAAATATGACGTTAAGTGAGCCAAGAAAATCTTCATAAAATGTTTTAATATTTAATATAACACCAATCATTTTGTATACGCTTAGACATTTTTTACACACACTATGGGCACACATTATTAGATCGAAAGCTCCCCTATAACACTAAATATCCCTGCCCGGAAATTCCTCCGAAGAAACTTTATTCACCCATCCCATTTTTCATCCGTTAACGTTTATTACCTTTTCTGTTCCGTTTGATTTATTTTCGCTTTAGCGTTGAAGCTCACTCCTGATGTTAATCTCTTCCAGAAACCGACACTTGTCCAAAACCGTTACCTTTTTTATTGTAGTCTTCAACCTTGAATCATACATTTGGGTTGAACCAACTTGTCTCAGATTTTATTACACGATTCCTTCCCAAAAGGAAATTTATCTTTCAGGTGCTAACATCCGTTCATTAATAACCAAAATAAATAAGGCGTGTCCACTTAACAAATTGTTGTATTAAGATTAGCTCGGACGGATCGACAGATAACGATTTATCGAGCACTCGGATTTTATGGATTTCCGGAACCAGAAGCTCGATATTCTTAATCATCCGTCTAGTTTAATGCCGCTGCTAATGAAGTATTTATAATGGTGGAGGCGCCTTCATTATAGTGTGCACAGTCTGTCGATGGTCATTAAAATCCGAAACGACACTTGTAAACGGTTTGCTGAGGCAGGACTTAATTAAATGTGGTTTATTTTCAGATATCGCGAAAAAGAAGCTTTGCAGAAACGGCTTAGTCGCGTGGTAGAAGCGGCTTCTAGGAGCAGCAGGCGACACTCGAGCTCGCAAGGTGAGCAATAAATTAATTATTTTTAAATGTGTAATTATCCACAACTAGTAGAACGAAAAAATGATAGATGATATTTTTAAACTGAGAAATTACTTAAAGAATTGTTGGTGAATACGTTTAAAAGCCAACCTGTTTTTCTAAGGAATGTGGTAACACGTAGGTGCTACTAAATTCTAAAATTATGTTGGTTTTTTCACTTTATAGTAACACATTTAGTACTAATTCAAAAATGAACGGATTCGTTCTAATTAATTCTCGAATCTCCTGCAACAAATGTTCATCTGATGCCACAGCCACCATGACTCACCTCTGCGTATTATCAGGTTTCACTTACTCAGCAAAATGAAATACCAGCGAGTGAATTATCTCGACTCTTGATGTCTACCGTTAGTAATAGTTGTTGGCCGGCAACAAATTACCACTAATTTAAGTATGATGAAGTGTGACTGGTTTTTTGTTTGCGTTAGATGATAATTTATACCCTTTGTATAAATTGTATGAGTGAACGCGCGGATTTTCAGGATTTTTATTGTTCCGCGTTTCTCGATTTAATTGAGTCGGACGGAAGTTGAGCCGGCGCTGGTTTATCGTGCAATAAGTCAGCATGTTTTATGAAATATTCACCTGACATCTCAATGGACAGCTCGATTTCTATATAATTAATACATAGAGACTTACGTGTCCACAATACCAAGTGGATACTTGCCGTTTGTGAGCTATTAGAAACAACGGTTCGCTTCGTGCTTCGGAAAAGCGAACCTGAAATGGATTGAGGATTTCAGTGTTATTAACTAATAAATACCTGGCTTTCAGAGAGTGTGTGACCGGCATTCAAACGGTTTTTATGGGTTTGGCGCGGGGATTTTCTCAAGAGATGTGAAGAGTTGTAAAAAGGTGTAAAGCAAAGTGATCGTTCTGGGTGATTTTACTGTCTGGCGTTTTTCTACTAGTTTACGTGAGAGAATAGCAACTATTTTGAATCATTTTGCAAAGTTGATCAACTTTATTCAGTGTAATGACATTGCTTCTAAGACACCGGTTTTCACCATGGTTCATGTACAGAGTATTCGGAAATTTGCGCATGAGAAGATTACTACACTGAAGAAGCGACTATAAAGAATAAAATAAATGCCACAGACGTGCCACATCTGTTTTCCTTTACTTCTCACTCTTTATACTTCTTTTCAAGCATAAGCATCCTTCTCCTAGTATTTTGCGCTCTCATCTTCCAAAGCTTTTGTTTGCAGTCCTTCTTTTTCTCTTTCAAACATTCTTGGAGTATTTGTGGTTTGTGAATCCGTGTTGAATTTTTTTTAATTTTTCGATTTCTAATTTTTCAATTTTTGTCGTTTGTCGTTTCTAAAATTTCGAAATTCAGTTTTTCAGGTTTCTAAAGCTTCAATTTTTCGAATTTTAAAATTTTTGATTTTTTGACTTTTCGAATTCTCAGTTTTTCGATATTTCAGTTGTTGGGATTTTTAGATTATCAGTTCTTCAATTTTTCTTGGACTTTTCAATGTTTCGATTTTTCGATATTGGGTTATTTCGATTTCTTGATTTTTCGAGTTCTCAATTTTTCGATTCCTCCATTTCTCGATCTTTTGATGTTCCAGTTTTTAAATTTTTTGATATTCCGATTTTTCAATTACTTGATTTTTCGGTTTTTCGACTTTTGGAATTTTGTAATGTTGGATTCGATTTTCCAATTTTCCAATGTTTCAAATTTTTTGTTTCCTAATTCTTCGGCATTACGGTTTGGGGATTTTTTTCTCAATTTTTCAATTTTTCGATTCTTCAATATTATGATTTTTCAATTTGTTGAATTTAAAATATTTGGATTTCTCTTTTTATTGGTTTTTCAGTTTTTCGATTTTTTAAATTTAACATTTTTCAATTTTTCGATGTTAGGTTTTTTATTTTTTTTGATTTTTCGAACTATCTATTTCTCGACATCTCGGTTTTACAATTTTTAAAATTTTTGCAACTTTTCGATTTTTCGATTTCTTATTTTTTCAAGTTTTCGATTTCTCAATTTTCAAGATTACAATTTCGGGAACTTTTCTTTTTCTGGATTTTTAAATTTTTCCATATTTTAATTTTAGAGATTTTAGATTTTTCGGGTTGTCGATTTCTCGATGTATCGACGATCTGTCGATTTTTCTAGTTTTCGGATTTCTTTCAATTTTTTCATTTTAAATTTTTTTCGATTTCTCAATTTTTCGATATTTTAGTGTTGGGATTTTTTAGATTTTTGATTTTAAAATTTTTCAATTACTCAATTTTTCGACTTTTCAACATTTAGATTTTTCGATTTTTCGATTTTTTTATTTAGCCATTTCCCGATTTTTGAAGCTTCGGTTTCTCAACTTCGTAATTTCCCGATTTTTCTATTTTTCAGGTTTTTAAAGCTTCAATTCTTAGATTTTACAATTTTCCAACTTCTTAAATAGTTAAAGTCAGTTTTGTGATTTTTCAATTTTTTGATGTCTTAAATTTTGGAGTTTAGGTTTCTGAATTCTTCGTTTTTTGAATTTTTATATTTTTAATGCTTCAATTTTCCGATTTTACAATTTTTCAATTTTTTACTTTTCGACCTCTTGATTGTATATTTGGGGATTTTCCAGTTTATCGATTTTCCAACAATTTTTCATCGACTTTCCATTTTTTTAAATTTCAGATTTTTCGATATCTCGTTTTTTGAGTTTTCAGTTTTTGATTTTTCAACTTTAAAATTTTTCAATTTCTCAATTTATCGAGATTTTGATGATTTTGATCCGGATGTTATGATTTTTTGATTGTTCAGTTTCCCGATTTTTCGATTTTTCTATTTATCGATTTTTTTAATTAAAATTTTTCCATTTTTCAGTTTTTAATTTTTCGATTTTTCAATTTTGGGCTATTTCGATTTCTCCATTTTTCGACTTCTGGATCTTTCGATTTTTCGATCTTTTGATATTTCAATTTTTAATTTTTCCTTAATTCGGTTTTTCGATTTTTCAAATTTTCGATTTTTGGGCATTTGGTTTTCATATTTTTGAATTTTTCAATTTTTCGGTTGCGGTTTTTACACTTTTTGATCTTCCAATTTTTAGATTCTTCAATTTTTCAATGTTTCGATTTTTCGATTTTATAATTTTTCGATTTTTCGAATTCTCCATGTACATAATTAAAAAATTTTCGACTTTTCCATTTCTCACTTTTTCGAGTTTTCGATTTCTCAATTTTCCATAATTTAGGTTTGGGAATTTTTCTATTTATGGATATTTTAATTTTTCAGTTTTTTAATTTGTCAATTTTTCGATTTCTGAGGTTTTGATTTGTCAATTTTTCAATATTTCAGATTTAGGATTTTTCAATTTTGCGGTTTTTAAAATTTTCAATTTTACAATGTTTCGATATTTCCAATTTCGTTTTTTCAATTTTTCGATTTTTCAAGTTTCGATTTGTTAATTGTCCCATATTTCAGTTTTACCATTTTCCAATTTCTCGATTTTTCAATTTTTTAATTCCTCAGTTTTTCAATTCTTAAACTTTTCAATTCTTCCATTTTTCGGTTCTTCAATTTTTCAATTTTTAAACTTTTCGATTTTTTTGATTTTTAATTATTCAATTTTTTAAATTTTAGACTTTTAGATTTCTTGATTTCTCGTTCTTTTTATTTCAAACTTTCAATTTTTCAACTTTTGGCTTTTCGATTTTTATATTTTTCGATTTTCCAAATTTTCGATGTTTCGATTTTTCAATTTTTTGATTTCCCAATTTTTTGACATTTCAATTTTGGGATTTTTCAATTTTTGGGTTCTTCAGTTTTTTGGTTTTGTATTTTTTAGATTTCTCGATTTCTCGTTTTTTGATTGTTCAATTTTTCGAATTTTCATTTTATAATTTTTCGATTTTTGAGATTTTTGGTTTTTCATTTCGATTTTTAGACTTTTGGTCTTCGATTTTTCAATTTAACTTTTTGGGATTTTTCGTGCAATTTTTCCTAGACTTTTTAGTTTTTCGATTTATCGATTTTTCGATGTTTGGGTTTTTGGGTTTTTCAATTTTTCGACTCATCAGTTTTTTCGATTTTCATTATTCAATTTTTTTTATTTTAGACTTAGATTTTTTGATTTCTCGTTTTTTTTATTTCGAACTTTCAATTTTTCAGTTTGTAAATTTCCAATTTCTCGATTTTTTGAGTTCGCGGTTTTTCGATTTTTCAAATTTTCGACTTTTTGGCTTTTCTACTTTCCAGTTTTTCGATGTACCGATTTTTCAATTTTTTGATTTTTCAATTTTTTGACTTTCCAGTTTTGGGATTTTTCAATTTTTTGACATTCCAGTTTTGGGATTTTTCAATATTTGGATTCTTCAGTTTTTTGGTTTTGTAAATTTAGATTTTTAGACTTTTCGTCTTCGAATTTTCAATTTTAGATTTTGGGATTTTTCGTGCAATTTTTCCTAGACTTTTCAGTTTTTCGATTTCTCGATTTTTGAGTTTTTGGGTTTTTCAATTTTTCGACTCTTCAGAATTTTGATTTTTAATTATTCAATTTTTTAAATTTTAGACTTCTAGATTTCTTGATTTCTCGTTTTTTTTTATTTCAAACTTTCAATTTTTCAGTTTTTAAATTTTCCAGTTTCTCGTTTTTTGAGATTTTTGATTTTTCATTTCGATTTTTAAATTTTCGATTTTTAGACTTTTCGTCTTCGATTTTTCAATTTAACATTTTGGGATTTTTCGTGCAATTTTTCCTAGGCTTTCAGTTTTTCGATTTCTCGATTTTTCGATGTTCCAGTTTTTGGATTTTTCAATTTTTCGAGTCTTCAGTTTTTTGATTTTCAATTATTCGATTTTTTAAGTTTGGACTTTTAGATTTCTTGATTTCTTGTTTTTTATTTCGAACTTTCAATTTTTCAGTTTGTAAATTTTCCAGTTTCTCGATTTTTCGATTTTTTGAGTTCGCGGTTTTTCGATTTTTCAAATTTTCGACTTTTCGGCTTTTCTACTTTCC